GCTGCAACCCATTACTAGGAAACGTTCACAGTATTATAAACTGAATTAAACAGAATTTACATTTTCTAGTATATCTAAAAAACTTAAATATATAACAGAGGATTTTGGCATTAAAAAATAAATTAATAAATAAATGCTAGAAAAAAAACCTAACCCTAACTGAATTAAGTGAATCACACGACTTCATCTTAGAATCTCTATGGAGGGGTTTGTCAGAGTCCCCTTTCCTCTTCATATTCAACTTATCAATCAAGACAACAGAAAAAAAAACAATGACCTCTGCTGGGAACTCCCCCCTCATCCTCCCTAAAGCCTCTGTGCGCGTGTATCAGCATGCTTCATCTAGATTAAACATACTGGAAGTTCCTATAACAGCAAAGTCAAACAAAACAAACTCTTCAGTAAAACAAACCCTCCCTCTGAGAAGTCTATACATGCATCAACTGTGCTTCTGTTCACTTTCATTTTACTTATTTATTTCGGTTTTGATTTTTTATCATTTCAGTAAGGATATGCCTCTTTTTTTTTATCGACTGAAATATTTTACTTTTGCTTCCAAACATTCATCTTTGCCATCTACCGATCCATCTACTCATCCATCCATTCATCCATCTATCTATCCGTCACTTTTTCTATCCTTATATCTACAGTACCAAATTAATTATCCATCAATCCATCCTTCTACAGGTCCAACTATTTATCGATCCCTCCCTCCATCCATCAAACTATTTGCCAAGTACATCCATAGCCTACATGTACAACCATTCTTTCATCCATTCTGTCAGTCTGTCTATATGTCATGCATCCATACATCTATTAAGCTGCTGATTTTAATCCATATCTACCAAACTGTCCACCAATTTATCCATCCCTCTACAGTTTCACTATCTATCCATCTATACCAAACTACTTCTCAATCAGTCCATCCCTCTCCAGATTCAACTATTTATCCATACATCCATCTATCTATACAACCATTTACCAAGTGCATCCATAGCCTACATCCATTTGTTCGTCCATTCATCCATATATACATCTTTTGAACTGTTCATTAATGCACTGAGTTATCAGTCCATTTATCCCAATTTATATCAATATATACCAAACTGTCAATCAATCCATCCCTCTAAAGGTCTATCTGTCTATCTGTCTATCTATCTATCTATCTATCTATCTATCTATCTATCTATCTATCTATCTATCTATCTATCTATCTATCTATCGTCATTTGCCAGTGTACCTTTAGTATGCACAATTCATCCATTCTTCTGTCTATTTGTTCATTATCATGCATTCATCCCTTCATCTGTTGCATTGATCAGTGCACTAACCTCTCCATCCACCAAAATCATTCATTCATCAATAAATCATTCCTCCATCAGATGAGCACAGACAGCGGTCACTTACTCTGGCACTTGAGCGCAGCGCTGCTGATCTGGCGGCTGCAGGCGTCGCACCAGTCCTGACTCAGCGGTGTGGAGGTGAAGCTGTGGCCCTCCCCCTTCTCAGCCTTCACCCTCGGGTCTCTCTGGTTGAAGATGGACCATGCCTCCCTCCTGAGAGGCTCATTTCGCATCTTTACCACTCCTGACTTCCCTCGCGTCAGTCTGTCGATCTGCAGTCCCTCCAGCTCGTCTGGCGGCGGGCAGATGAAGTTACATCGCGGCGAGGTATTGCGAACTTCTTGCAGTGATGAAGACGCGTGACTCTTCCCCGAGCTCCTCCGGCTCCCGGCGCTGTGCCTGCGGAATATTCCGTTATTATTGTTGGCGTTTTCTCTGTCCATGTCCGCGGGCGATCCGTCCATGCCACTACGTGGCCAGCCTGAGCTACAGTCTCGGTTGTGAGATGCTGAAGGCGGCTCGTGATTGAATAACATGAGCGATGCTGAGACTGCGGCTCTCGCGCTGTCCACATCACTCGCTCTGCTTCGCTTTATTTTCTCCAGCGACCATTTACGCGCGAATTTCTTTCTGTCACCCGACTTGAGTTTGTGAAGGAGTTGCTGATCCGGGTCGCGTAGGTGTTGAGCGAGATGCTGTCCTAAAGTGACGGACGCCATGTCTTTTGGTTATAGTTGAATGTGTGCTAAATGCAAACTATTTTGAAGCGCCAGTGGCGAGCGTGTGACGCGCAGTGAAGCAGACGCGCGCTTTAAATGTCACTAGGCGAGCGGACGTGCGCGAGCCTGCCCCTCACAATGAGCACTTCTGTTTCCCTCTTGCCACAGAAGAAATCTCTAAGCACGCCAACAAATTTCACTCAAAGAATGATATATTAAACAAAATAGAAAAACTGAAATAGTATTTTATTTAAAAATAAAAGTAAACAACGTCGACAAGTCATTTAAAAGTGTTTGAAGCGTTTTCAAAATTCATTTTATGTATTTATTTCACCTTAAATAGGCCCACATTTCAAAACATTATTTGTTTTAAATATATGTATGTATGTATATATATATATATATATATATATATATATATATATATATATATATATATATATATATATATATATATATATATATATATATACACACACACACACACACACACGATTTTTAACACATTTCTAAACACAACTCATTTCTAATAACTGATTTATTTTATCTTTGCCATAATGACAGTAAATAATATTTTCCTGCATATTTTTAAGACACTTCTATAAAGCTTAAAGTGACATTTAAAGCCTTACCTAGTTTAATTAGGTTAACTAGCCAGGTTAGGGTAATTATGGAAGTTATTACATAACGATGGTTTGTTCTTTAGACTATCGAAAAAAATAGCTTAAAGTGGCTGATAATTTTTACCTTAAAATGTTTATTAAAACTGGTTTTATTCTAGCCAAAAGAAAACAAATAAGACTTTCTCCAGAAGAAAAAAAAAAAAAAAAAAAAAAAAAAAATATATATATATATATATATATATATATATATATATATAAAAAAAAATAAAATCTATCTGTCTGTCTTCATACACACATATACATAAATACAAAGACTAAACATCTCTCTCTCACACACACACAGTTTATTAGTATTTTTTAATTCAAAAATCTCAAATACACACACACACACATACACAAAATAAAATCTAAGATACAAGTTTACAAACTGCTAAAAAGGAAAGTCAATAAAATTTCCACGTCAAGTCAAATATACATAAAATTTGACAGTGAACCACAGCGTGGTCTCTTTAAGGTCATTATAGTTCCCCATAGTGTGAGGAATTCCCCAAAACTCAAACCCTGTGATGTGACATCAGAACCCACCGCATACATCTTTCACTTTCCACATCATGGTAGTGAGTCTGTTTATACCTGTCAGTACTTGTAATACGGTGATCCCTCATGAAGTCATTTACTGTTCACATTTTTTTGGATCCCAGCTGAGCACTGTTGAAAAAAAAAACTTCCTTTAGGACCATACGTTGTGTGATCAAAACACACAACCTGCATTATTGCTGTTACTGTATCTCTCTGAAACAAAATCAATAGCATGGGGCAGATTGAACACCCCTGTCTTTATTCCATGCCTGTGCAATAATAATGCCAATAATGCCAACTGAATGCACAGTGTCATCAATATATTTAGGTCTTAAGATTACTCGAGAAGACTAGTTGCAGATCTGTATTTCTTTCATCTTGGCTGATGAAATCAATACTAGTAGATTGTATAAAGATAAAATGCAGCAATTACATTAACATTTAATCTAAAAAGATATAACTGATATAAAAATCAACTCAAGCTCAATTTTAAATCAGTCTTCTCTGAAGTGTTGGTTTGAGAATTAGGCAGGTTTTCTTTCTTAGTTGAGTTAGTTTAGACATTCAGTTCTGTATGTGAACACTGCAATCACACTTGAGTCCACAACAAAACAATCACTCGCCTAAACAAGGTGTCCCAGCGTGAACAAAAACAAAGCGTGAGGCTGTTTGGTTGTGTTGACCAGTTAACACAGAGTTATCGGTTATCAGTATCTGCCCAAACTTCCATATCTGGACATCCCTACTACAGATTAGAGAGAGTCATATCAAAATCCCTTTCAAGGAAAGTCTGTTCACTCGACAGCCATTTTCTAAATGAATGGGGAAATCCTGAACTATCAAAAAACACTTGCTGAACCTGCTAGTTAATAACATACGTCAAACCAGCAACCAAATGTGAAAAAAGTGACCTGTCCAAGTATTGTTGTTCCTACTAATTACATTTAAAACATGTTATTTGCAGTTTGTTCCAGCATCTGTGTCTTTGCAAAGATTGGCATGACACCAATGTCCTGTATGGCTGTTTCAACTGACACAGTAAATAATATAAAAATTGAGACAAGACCCAAAGTAAAGATCTCAGGACAACAATGCTACACTTTGTGATGTCATTTCTCCTGTCCAAATCAATGCAAGCACATAGTAGTCGGCAAAAAACATGGCTTGCCTTATTCCCCCAAAAAACCACATGGCTAAAAGGATTGACAATTGGCTGTTTTAACCAGAAGGCAGGACTTCCTTTGCTGTGGTGGTCATCCTAAGCATTACACTTGTCCCATTCATAGTAATGCGAGTGAAGTGTCTTTGCATATTTATAGTGTTTGGTCATATTAAGCCTGCAGAGCACACTAGTCAATACGTTGTGCTGGATAAAGCGTAGGGACCCAAACAGATGAATTCTGACCAATGAGAGGACAGTTGTACCCCCACATGATATTCATAAACACATTTTGGTGTACTTTAAAATGCTCAATAGTGAAACAAAAAAAGAACAACACTGTAACAGATTAAGAAAGAAGTAAACAATATACAGGTCACAGAAAGGGACCAGACTCCAGTCATACAGGTAAGTCAGTTCAGACAAAATGTGTACTTTCAGCTTTGCACACTGGTACACATCATGAAGTTTCAGCTGCTTTTCCTGGAAACAGTCATTAAAGTGAGAAATTTGTTCCTTTACAGTTGTAGAGTGACAACTAAGAACAGTTTTGAGATGCGTTTTGTTTTGCTTTCTCTTTTCGTTTAGCTCAGAGATCTGGGCTTTGTGAATATAAATATTTTGGTGCAGTCTGTATTCTTTTGAGGTCTTCACGGTCTGTTGGTTTGAGGGTTTTTTTTCTCCACTGGCATGGTAGGGGTGACAACTGAAAGGCTTAAAAAACATAAGATTTATTGTTAAGTTTAAAATAATTAGTAACACATAAACATTAGCGCTTGCAGTGACAGATCATACCTTTCTATCATATTGTTGTTTTTCTGTAGTTCCCATGCCACAGCCTCCATCTCACTCTTTAATCTGGTCATTCTGAAAACAGTTTAAGTCATTTATTAGTTGGAACTGATAAATGCTGCATCTCTTTCATTCCAATGACATACTTGAGAATCATGTGCTCTTCTTTTTTCTTTCCATCCACCACCTCGGCTTTAACTGGCTGCTGGACAGCTCGATGCACAACTCTTTCCAGAACCTGCAAAAGTGGAGAAGAGTGTGGTCATGGATAAGATTCAACTGCACCTAAGTTATTCATACACACCAACACCACCCAATGTATACTTTATCTGAGAATTTATCCTTGTCCAGTGTCTGCTTTTCTATAATTCCACTTTAAATGAGAAGTGATGGTAGTACCACAGTTTAGAACATTTTCTAAATGCATAATGAATGTGGGAAAGCTACAAAACATAGCTGTAGTCCAGTGTGTGTGTATCTGTGTTTATGCTAGCTGAATAGCAGTGAAGAATCGTGAAGCGATGACCTTCCTAGCCGATCACAGTCATATCTGTTTAGTACGTCAATACAATGGTCAATCAGCGGCGTTTAAGTATGTGCTCAACAATTCTCAAATGTTAGCAGTATATGGACATTTTAAAAATTTCAGTATCGATGGGTAACGAGGCTGATACTTTTGAAAACCCAGCATCACCAAATTGATTTTCTCTCATCAAAAAGTCACAGTTTGTACACAATACATTTTACTATAATTAGATCAATTTGACAGCATGAGCCTGATGTCTTTATTTATTTATTTATTTGATACGGACACCACAATTACACTCTACAACCAAATGCATTTGTTTAAGTGCTTTAGCAGCCTTGCTATTTCTCAACACCTGTCCACAGGAGGCTTGACAAAATTAAAATAAAATAATTACATATCCACTACATTTTAATTCTTTACATAAAATTACTGAAGGCAAAAGCAAAGGTGGCATGATCAAACAAACTAATAGGGGACTATTTTATTTTTGCTGTTTTGTTTTTAACTACTTTTTAAGAACACTATTAAAAACATTTATATTACTTTCTGATTTTAGGCTAACAGGTAACACATTCCACAGTTTGGCTCTCTTAACAAAGAAAACAGATTGACCAACTGAGGTCTTACACTTTGCCACTAGACAGTCACCATTAGCAGTCGCTCGTGTGACTCAGTGAGAGATCTGATGCCTACTGATTAAATCTGAAAACAGCACTGGAACATGATTATTTAAACATTTAAAAAACAATTTAAGATAATTAAATTTATTAAACTATTGAAACTTAAAAAGTTTATTCATTCATTTTCTTGTCGGCTTAGTCCCTTTATTAATCCAGGGTCGCCACAGCGGAATGAACCACCAACTTATCCAGCAAGTTTCTTTGCAGCGGGTGCCCTTCCAGCCGCAACCCATCTCTGGGAAATAAAAGGTTTATGTTAACATAAAACATCCTAATGATTTCATCGCATAAGCTTTAAGTCCATAATTTTAACTGCTTGTTTATATGTCGAGTCAACAGGCATCAATGTAGTTAAAGAAGCTTGTGATCACGATGTAATGCAATATGTCAAGTGAGAGAATATCATTGTTTGCATGTATAATTTTGCAGTTTGATATGTTTAAAAATCTTCTAATGAAATGAAAACGGATTAGACTTGGCTTAACCCACTTGCTAATATTCTTAACATGACTATCAAATTTTAAATGAATGTCTTGAGTTATGCCAAGATGTTTAAATTCATTTACTTCTTTAATACCTTTTTTTTTTTTAATCAGCACCTCAAATTTATCCCTTACAGGTCTATTTCTTATAGAGAAGTACTCAGAAACAGTTTTGCATGACATTTAACATTAAATGAGAGAGCTCAAGCCATCTTGAAATATGTTGCAAAGCCTGGGTCAGTTACTCACCTGCCCGGCAAGGTGTTTTATAATAAAGTAACAGTCCATAATGCAATTACAGTGAGTATGTGTACATGAATTTCAATACTTTGATTTTAATATTTTAAAACTCCGATCAAGAGTCTACCATGTAAACATGATTTTTGATTAACTTAAAATCTGATGACCTAAACAGAAATCGTATTAAGATGTGGAGTTTTCCTATTTTAGTCGCATTATTGAAGTGCAGTACAGACATGTAAACACTTTAATCAAACTATCACCGTTTTGTTTTTGCAACATTTTGTTGTCAGAGGTCTGACGACAAATGCATGTTTTTGGTACGAGAGGGAAACAATGATTCCCATTGAGTAACTCAAAGTTTTTTTGTGGGGGCATGAACAAAAAGTTAGTGAATGAAATGGCCTGTTGCTTGTGAGAAATTAACTGCAGTAGAGCTTTTCGCAACATTAAAAAACGAAATGCCCAAAATCACATATGGTAAAGCTGTTGTTGTTGTGTAAAACGCCAGAGGAAACTAGCATCGAACATGCTATAACATGCAAAATTCGAAATGCAACTCATGTAAACACTTTAAACATATTATTGTCTTATTCAGATTAAGGCAAATAGTTCAATTAGCAATGTCCATGTAAACGTACTCACTGTCTTTGCTTTTTCTATGACTGATTAAAATGTGAAAAAGAAATCTGCATTCTGATATGGTCTATTGAACAAGTCAAACAGTATATGGCAGTGGGTTTTAGTACTGTAACTTTAGTTTTGAAATAAGAAAGTGAATCTGTGAAAATACTAAATCTTCCTAACCTCTGCAACTAGTCTTGCCTGAATAGGCCTTAAGACAGATTGTATGTGTGAGTAAGAGAGGACTGACCTTGTTCTGCAGGATCTCATGTGCCTTCAAATCCTGAATTCTCTGCAGCAAAGTATCTCTGAATTTGTCTAGATGTGTCTGCATGTCATACAGAGCCCTGCAGAAACAACACTCACAGTCATCTGTTGCTCTTAAAAACTTTCGCTGCACTGACAAAGCCCATAAAAGTATCAAAAATCATTGTTGGATGTCAGATTTAAGTGAATTTAGGCATCTGCACTGTAATATAAATGCTACAGTCAAGTTAGGAAAACCAATAGCCCATAATTTTATCACTTAATATGTATTACTTTTTCTGTTGCTATGCACTTGAGCAAGGCTGGCATTGAAAAATCACTTAGCGACTAATAGTGGGATGTATTCATACATGACAGGTGTGGTTTGATTAATTAGTTAGTTTAATTAATTCACTGAAACATGAAATCAACAGAGACAAAAGCCATATAAACAAAGCGAGAACAGGACATGAAGTCACTAAATATGATCCTTATGCAGACAGAATGTTTAAAGATACCCATTTGGTCTAGCAATAGGAGCTTCTGTATGTTGCCTAAAGCAGTTCAAAACAGGTGTCGGAAATGCTGCCTCCTTGCAGCTGACTGTTTTTGTGTAGTGGAGGAACTCTTTGTGCTGTTTTGACTCGTTTACGCATTTTATAAACTCAGCATCAGTTCTCAGCTGATAAAAACACCTGTTCGCAAACATGGCGCGGATGTTCAGGCAAGCACATTGCACATCTGTTCGGGATGTTTAATGAGTATTTTTGAAACATTTACATTATAAAATATTTTTATTTTGTATCTTTAGGTTCTGTCTTAAGCTAAGTCAAAACAGGATTACAACAGTTATTTCAGGATTCAAACGGTCATGAAAAACCTGGAAAAGTCATGGAAATTTTAAATAGCAATTTCCAGGACTGGAAAAGTAAAAAAAAAAAAAAATAAGCCCACACAATTTGTCATGAAGATTTGTCTACAGGGTTCCTTCCCTTTCATGGACACCAGATTCAAGGACTTTCAATGACTTTTTTAATCACCTATAGTTTTAAATTAAACATTGTAATTCACACCTCCAGCATATGTAGTGCCATGAAAGTCCTTCCTGTACTTTATGTTTCACTTAAATTTAATATTCATTCATTCATTAGTTTTTTTTTTAGCTTAGAACCTTTATTAATCTGGGGTCGCCACAGCAGAATGAACCGCCAACTTATCCAGCACATGTTTTAAGGCAGCAGATGCCCTTCCAGCTGCAACCCATCACTGGGAAACATCCATACACACTCACAAACATACACTACGGACAATTTTAGCTTACCCAATTCACCTATACCACATGTTTTTGGACTATGGGGGAAACATGCAAACTCCACACAGAAATACCAACTAACCTAGTCGGGGTTCGAACCAGCGACCTTCTTGCTGTGAGGGGATTGTGCTATTCACTGCGCCACAGTGCTGCCATAAATTTAATATTTACATTAAAATTTCAGAGCAATGATGATGTTTCTAATGTTTTATTTTTTAAACAGTCATGTTCAAAGAACTTTGATAAAATTCGTTGAGTTCTAGACAGGTAATATTCAAATGTGGTTTCTGAAATATTGATAAAATGCATTCTTTCTCATAGTTCTTGTGCAAGATCTAAATGTAAGATTTTTAAATTAAGCATTACGTTTTTTGATTCAGATATTGCAGCACATTACAATTGTTGAAATAACACTATACACTTTCAATTCAAGCACTTTCAAGATCTTTCCAGGGCTTCAATTTATATGTCTGAAATGCAAGTACTTTCAAGAAGCGTGGGAACCCTGGTTTAACAAATATATGTATACTTGAATAAGTTTTAATTGATAATATTGATTAAATTTGTTTCAAATGGAATAATAAATAGTGAGTGACGTTCTCTTTGTTGAGTTAACAAAATCAACTCGTTGTTTGAGCAGTGTTCCTGCTTCACTGTCAATTAAAATGTCATGTCCAGAAACACATCTCTAACTACAGAGGTAAGACACTGTGAGTGCTAAAGGTGGCCTTGTGAGGACACAAGCCAGCATTTTTTAAATATGTTCACAGATAGCAAGATAACAGTTCACTTCAGATGCAGTGAATGCAAGTGCTGATATTTATGTACTTTAGGATTTTCTCCTTATTTTTAAAAACAAACTGTAGCAAATGTATTGAAGCAGAGTCTTATTATGAATTATTTGTGTAACCTATTGACATTTCTGGCATTTATTATCACCTTAATGCACAATTTCAAGAAAAGATTTTTGTCAATGGCACTCTTCCTTGGTATTATTTGCTAAATTTGAATTTCTTAGGTCAAACTGGAATAAAGAGTTTGCAAAATAATTGCAACTGCTCCATTTCCATTCTCATCCGTACAAGTCTATTAATGCTGAACGGCGCCATCTAGCTTGTTAATTGTTATTCATATTAGCATGAAGTAATTTAACAAATTGAATTGAACGCTATTAAACTGTTAAAGACTTTAAAAACTTAAAAAATAAAATGTATTTTCAGAAAATAGTTGTTTTTAGGATTTAGTCTCTTCCAGTGTTTAGTCAAGATTAAAAAGGATTAAAGTTTTTAATTATTAAAGTTATGAACTGTTTGTCATGTTTTATTTGTCATTTTGTCAAATGAATACATTGCAGTTGTACATCATTTATTTCTGTCATCTGTTTTCATTGATTTTAATAATAACAGAATTATAATGACAATAATATCTTTATTATTAGAATTGCAGCAGCCTCTTCAGTTCTTCTCTGTGCTTGGCATGTTCTCACATTACTTTAATAGTATTGTATAAGCATTGACTAAATATTGAATTGTTTGGCATTATAAACTAAATAGACTGTCATGAATATTCTGCAATAAATTTAATTCCATTTTTTTCTTAATTAACATGTACACATAAACATTACATGAAACATTTGGTGTTAAAATATGACTTGAATTTTAGAAGTAAAAATGTGCATGTTTCAGTCGTTATCTTTCATGCACCAATATAAAAATATACACTCCAAAAATGACAATTGCTGTTTGTTCAACCTACGTATTAAAAATAAGCTGAAACAACACAATTCTCAAGGTTTTTTTTTTTTTTTGGGACAACTTAATTATGATCAATCAACTTTAATTTGTAAAAACTAATATGTAAACTTAATTCCTTCATGTTGTCCCAACACAAATCAGTTGTTTTTTGATTGATTTGTTTTTACAGTGTATACTTCCCGTGTCCTTCAGTCATTATTGGTGATTAAAAGGTGTATTCTTAATCAATTTACCTGCTACACCTGTCTGTGGTATTCAGAACATCCAGGTACTTCTGAAAACAGTCATCCTTGAATAAACTCTTGAACTTCTTTAAGTATGAAGACAGATTCAACCTAAACAGAAAGAAGCCAAGTCTCAGTTCAATTACCCGACACACATTGGACATGCTCCTTAGATACAGTACTTACTTCTCAAACTTGTGAATCTGTTCGTCATTATAGCCGAGCTCTGGGACAGAATAAATAAATAAGAGTCAGAGGAAGATTTCAAAATGCCAATCCAACAATAGAGTTATGGTGGCTCCAGACATGAACTTATTATTCTTCCATCTTTTTCTTCTTCGTAGGCTAATTTCTTTATGCATCTCCTCCTTTACCGTTCAAGCTACAACCACCAAACTAACACCAGACCTCTAAACTGGTCTGACTCGGTTTGCTTTGCCTTATCCAACTGATCCAACTTACGGTTTTCCGAAAACTGATCCGGAAAATTCTGAAAAGTCCCATTGACTTAACATTGGATCAAACTTCACCTTGACTTGACCTCATAACTTTCCACCAGACTGTCATACAGACTTAATGTTGGGCTTATTTCACTCAGACTACCAATCTGCCAACTTCTGATGACTTTTTAACCTACTAGCCACACCAGAGCAACCACTTACAGCACCTTAGCAACTGTTCCATAGACTTCCTTTGTAAAAACTGCCATTGACTTTACATTGCTAACAATATACTAATTTATACTAGCAACATGTTAATTCATATTAAATTTATGCTAACAACATGCTAAATCATGTTAGAACCATGCCAACAACATGCTAATTTATAGTAAAGACCTGCTAGCAACATGCTATTTTATGCTAAAACCATGCTAGCAACATGCTAATTCATACTAGAACCATGGTAACAACATACTAAAAAAAAAATCAACATTGTGCACTGGAAAGACCGAACAGCCAGTGAATCTTCAACCACCAGTGGACACCGCCATTGGGCCAACTGGATGGACCTTACATTATTATTACTATAAATATCTTCATTGTGTTGCTTTGGAGTTTGTTGATTTTTACTATTTGCTGCTTCTCTTCTTTGAGGCTGGCTACGCCTTGCACCTGCCGCTAATTTGAAGGCTTGTCGCCTTCAAAAGCGGAAGCTGAGCATGTGTCAGGGTGGCTCTTGTTTTCCAGCACGTCTGACTGATCCTCCCGATCTTGTCTCTCTTGAGAGTATGACCCATACTTGTTGAGAATCTCAGCGTATCTTGTACTGATGAAAATCTGAAACTTCTGTGCGCGTCGAGTGCAGCCGCTGCTGAGGAGTCATGCTGTTGCCGTTTCTTTGATTTATGCTTGATTTATTCTATATCTGTTTTCTCTATGGTTTATGTTTTGTGTATGTTTGTTTGTTTGTTTGTTTAAGTAATTGTTTTGACTGAGAGATATTGTTTAATTAATGATTTATATTTTTGTTGCCACCTTAATTTGATCGGACACTTATATTTTGGTCTCTAAATAAATAGAGAATTGTATTTCTAATTTCCGTGTCCTTTTATGTTGCTAACCCCTTCCCTAGACGAGCCTTAAAAAACTGGGGTTCGTAACACTTTCAGACGAGGCTTTCTCAAGCCACCATAAAGTTTGTCTACCACCTTTACTTTTCTAGTTCTGTGATGATGTTATGAAAATCAATTGTTTTTATAATACAGATATTAAACAATATACACACTTGAAAGTATTTGATTATAGTATTAAAAAAAACAAGTGTAATTGTATTTATTTTTCAAGACATCCTGATAGTGTGTTTGCTCAATATAAGCTGTATTTTAGCTGACTGGATTCTCTGCAGAGTCATATCTAGCATTATCAATGCAGCCAGGCAGAAAGGAGGGTTTTTATTCCTCCGTCTCCATGCTTGTCTGTCTGGAATGGTCCTTGCTGTCAGATAAGGAAGCACAACACTGCCTCCTCTACTCGCAGCGGGTACGAGCAACACGCTAATCTCACTAATCTCAGCACTGGCTCCAGTCATCAAACTCCACGTCCAGCTTTCTCGCAACTGATAGAAATGGGTCACTGATATTCTCACATCATTTAGTGAATTTTTGATGTGTCCTGAAACCATTTGACTAGTGGAGAGGGTTCTTTAATAAAAACTTGAAAGCTATAGCATAATCAGTCTTTTGATAGGTGTCAAGTATTCAATTCATCCGTATTTCTATAGCGCTTTTTTTCTAGTGTGGATTGTGTAAAAGCACCTTATCAAAGATGAAGGAAAAAGAGTAAGAGCCATTATATGTCCAATTGTGGAACATTCCAGCAGTTACAGTAAATATGCATCTATAATTTATGCTGTGTGACATTGTGGGAGGTAAACACACATCCACTTACTTCTTGTCTGTCTGTCCCTGAAGTACTGGAAATGTACATCAACAATCTGCGACAACAAAACCTCCATCTTCTGAATGCTGCATTGAAGAGAAAATGTAATTGAATTAATAATGGGATACATATTAATGAAGTCATTATTTATTTTCAACAGTGTTTATTTGGTTTATTTACAAGCCTTTTGACGTTCTAGACCCTGAAATAGTCCTAAATGATTTCTTCTCTAAAGACCCAGGCTGCGTCCGAAACCGCCTACTAAGTAGGTACTGCATTTGAATTTAAAGGTACTACTCGGCCGTTAGAAAAGGATGTTCTATACAGTATGAATGTGAAAGTATGAATGGAATTCGGACATTCTACTCGGCTCGCATACTGACTTTAGCGTACTTTTATTTTTAAAAATATTTATTTTTATAGTGTATTTTTTAAATTCTATATAGGGGTTTAAATATAGTTAAAATATTTTGTTTACCTTAACAAACTTTTTTATTATACTCTATAATTTATGCATATTAATCAACTAAAATCATTTTTGTATGAATTAATTAAAATTTATTATTATTATTTTTTTATCCAATTCTTTTTTCGCTTGTGTGTTTATCTTTAAACAAAAATTATTATTGATCTTATTTTTAACAACTGACATTGTTCGTTTACTTATTACCACAAGTATTATTCAGCAAACTATGGCTATTTCATGACAAGATCAATATAGAGAAAAACAATATGTATTATACCACTTTATACACTCACCGGCCTCTTTATTAGGTACACCTGCCCAACTGCTCGTAAACGCAAATTTCTAATCAGCCAATCACATTGCAGCAACTCAATGCATTTAGGCATGTTCACTGCAGTTCAAACTAAGCATCAGAATGATGAAGAAAGGGGATTCAAGTGACTTTAAATGTGCCATGGTTGACGGGCTGGTCTGAGTATTTCAGAAACTGCTGATCTACTGGGATTTTTAGTTAGCTATGAACAGGAGACTGAGGCTACAATTTGCACAGGCTCACCAAAACTGGACAGTAGAAGACTGGAAAAATATAACCTGGTCTGATGAGTCTTGATTTCTGCGACATTTAGATAGTAGGGTTCAGAATTAGGCGTCAACAACATGAAAGCATGGTGAAAATGACAGCGAGTTCACTGTACTCAAATGACCTCCACAGCCACCAGAACTCAATCCAATAGAGAACCTTTAGGATGTGGTGGAACGGGAGATTCGCATCATGATGTGCAGCCGACAAATCTGCAGCAACTGTTATCATGCCAATATGAACCAAAATGTTGGAGAAATATTTCCAGTGCCATGTTGAATCTATGCCACAAAGCATTAAGGCAGTTCTGAAGGCAAAAGCAGCTCCAACTCTGTACTAGTAAGGTAAAATAAAGTGTATACCTAATAAAGTGGCCGGTGAGTGTATAATACATATGATAATTCGTTTAAAACTCACCCTGGAGAAATTTGATTAACTGCATTATTTACTAGCGATATTTCTATTTAAATTTCATTTAGACTTACAGCACCCCAGTTTGACACACTATTTTATATATTTAATAATATATATAAAGCACGGTGGCACAGTGGGTAGCGGTCTCACCTTACAGCAAGAAGGTCGCTGGTTCGAGCCTCGGCTGGGTCAGTTTTTGTGGAGCAATCACAAACTGGGGGTAATTTGCGATCGGTGGAGCGATTTCATGAGGAAGCAATCATAAAGTAAGGAGCGGGGAAGGGGGGCGGGGTGGAGCAACAACGCGGGGAAGCCTGACTGAGGAGCGATTACAAACTAAGGAGCGGGGTAGAGGGGCGTGGTGAAGCGACGATGCGGGAGGAAGCGTTCACAAACTGAGAAGCGATCACAAACTGAAGAGAGGGGTTAGTGTTGTGTAGCGACAACGTGGGTCCTCCTGATCACCAACTGAAGACCGGGGGGGGGTTTATATATATATATATATATATATATATATATATATACAGGTATATTATCCACAGCACTTTTTTTTCACCATGACAAAAGATTAGACATAACTAAACTACACCAAATTTTTATCAAAGTTTTACCTCTTATCATTGGCCAGTGTCTCTGAGTGTTTAGACAGTGTCACACGCAGATACTGCAGTATATTCTGAAATTCTCTGATTCCCCTGCCGCACATCTGCTGCAATTCCGCTTCAATCTATAGACAATGATAAACCTTAAACCATTGCAGTGTCTTCGCTTTCATTTATTCTACTTATATATATATGCATATGTATATATATATATATATATATATATATATATATATATATATATATATATATATATATATATATATATTACAGAGAACAGAAATCTTACCAGTGGGAATTTCTTCTTACTGTCTATAAAGTCTGGAAACTCATGTGCAAAAGTCTGAGTGCTGGTTGGAAAAAAAATGAAAAAACATCCATAACTAAACACCTTACTAGACAATGCTAATGACAGAAAGCATTACTTTTATGATATCATGAAACACAAATTCAATCACACTGATAGATTCTCACAAGACGTGGAGAGTTTTCTCTGTGCTGATAGAAGAATGCAGCTTCATTTTCACTTTAGAAATCCTGTGCGTCACATCAATGACTTCAGAGCTTGTTTGTTCACTAAAAAGTCAACAATATTAGTATTGGACAGACTCAAATGTCAAGGTCATTACATATTTGGAGACAAAAAAAGTTGTAAGCGCTCACATGTAGCTATTGAAGCCCTGCAGAATAAATTGCCTGTATTCCTGCAGCGAATAAGCAATCCGCAGGTACTGATGAATGACCTTGACAATGGTCTTCAGGAAAAACATAAACAACAGAACACAGTGTGAGGCTTAGAGATAATAGTGTTATAATGTTCATCATAAATAAGCACCAGAGAAAAAACAAAGAGGCTTGATTACCTTGGTGAAAACAAAATCTGCAACGACGTCAAACTTTCCAGGCATTGGAGGGGATTCAGCTAAAAAAGACATGAAAATAGGGGAAGATTGAAAAAATATCAACATTCATTTTTCTTCGGTCTAGTCTCTTTATTCATCAGGGGTCACCAACCGAAAACTCATTCAGCATATGTTTTAAACAGAGGATGCCCTTCCAGCTGCAACCCAGTACTGGTGTGGGAATATACATTTATATAATCTAGTTCTAAACTAGCAATAATCTCTATATAACTCAAAAGTTATATTCTTTCATGAATGAGTAGTTATATGCTGATGAGATTGGGGCTGGGGGGAAGGCAATTTACCCTGCTGACAACAACACTTTATTTGCATGCTTTGTTTAGGTTTGTCCCCACCTCTATGTATCACTGTCTGTAAAATATATAAAAACTTAGTGCCCGCTGCACTAGGACAGAGTTCTTTCAGTGACGCCACAGCGAGTTTCTTATTAAAGGATTCTGCTCTGAACATACCCGAAAGTTCTCCCTTGTTTTTGGCTCATCTTAGAAATTCACAACACTGCAAAACACCTATACACACTCATTTACACACATACACTACAGCCAATTTATTTGATTTAATTCACCTATAGCGCATGTCTTTAGACTGTCAGGGAAAGCGGAGCACCTAGAGGAAACCCACGTCAACACAGGGAGAACAAGCAAACTCCACACAGAAATGCCAACTGGCCCAGCCGGGACCAGCGACCTTCCTGCTGTGAGGTGAAAATGCTAACCACTGAGCCACCGTAACACCAAACATCAACATTTCAACATATTTTTTTTATGTTTTATATATATTGTAATCCATTTCATTTTTATCCAATAAGTTAATGGAACTATGATGGAAACACATTTCTAAATAAATATCTTGTTGCACAACAAAAAAAAAAAATAAAAAATTTTGCCCCATCAGATCATGTGGCTGGACAGCAGGACCTGTTAACTAAACTTAATTTTTTTAAATTTCAAACATGATTTTAGTTACAGTGAAATGTATAGAACTGTCAACTAAATCAGTGCTTCTCAACCATGTTCCTGGAGGACCACCAGCTCTGCACATTTTTCTTTACTCCTTCAGATCATCAGCTCATTAGCAGTGACTGTAAGAGTTTCGCAGTTCGCTGCATTGGCAAGCTTGGTGAACTGCTGAGATTGGTGAACGTGTCGAGAAACACTGAACTAAATGATTTGGTTAAACGACTCACTAATAAGATCGTTTTCTCAAAGATTAAGCATCCTCCATTAATGCCAGATAACAAGACTGACCGTTCTTGAGATGTAACAAACTCAAAGCTCCAGTCACACTTGACTTTACTCCCCATAGACTTCTATTCATACGCACACGAAAGCGTCAGACCGGAAACGCAGGGTCATGCATCAAATTTTACAGGTTGCTGCGGTGCAAAGTTCAAGCTTGGTGAACTCTGACCTGCGAAATCGCATATCACTTGACTGCGTGAGACCAATCGAGGATCAAAACATGACCTCTCTGGACAGAAATTTAAAACATGGTGCAATAGCTCGCTTTTTTCAATGTCTAATAATCTTGTTTAATCCCGCCCCTTTTCGCAGCGCCGTATGACAGAATTTCGCACACACAAACTCTAGTGTGAATGTAGCTTAAGAATAAGAAAAAGAGCCACACCGATTTTGTTTTATTAATACTTTGTGCCAGTTTTTGAACATGACGTGGAAACTGTCTTTTATTTTGTAAATTGTATGATAGATTCTTGTTAAATCCCTAACTTTTGATTAAAACGTAACATTACCTTTCTTTTTTGACTAGTAAAAAACAATTAATCTCTATTAGATCTCAATTAACCTCAAATTCTTGGGTTTAGAAAATGTACCATAAAAATGGTCACTATGTTGCCAATCAGAAAAAAAGAGAAAAAAACAAGCAAACAAACAAAAAATTGTTACCAGTTGAGGGAAGTATGACAAATAATTTAGATTTTATTGTAGTAGATTTTTAATTGATGTTTATTGTAATGTAATGTACTATAATAAAGTACACAGGGTCCTAAAAATAAGTGTCGCAACAATGAAACAAACAAGAAATTATTAGAAGCATTTTTTCCAAACCATCCATGTTGGTGTTGACACGCAAAGTTTCTATTTTAGAAAAAAGTTTTTATTTCTTTGATGTCACAATATCCTCAACAAAACTAGCATTACAATTATAAACTATGGTGCTGATTATGTGGTTTATTCAATATCATCTATTTTATAACAATTCTGATAGCAGGATAGCAGATATATTACTAGAAATAAGCAGATAGATTATTTCAGGTCTTGAAAACTACCATACAGTACATATGATTTGCACATTGGAACTGTAAACTCAGAGCAAAGCAACAATATCCACTCACCAGCCACTTTTATTAGGTTTGTCCAACTGCTCGTTAACACAAATATCTAATCAGCCAATCACATGGCAGTAACGCAATGCATTTACGCATGGTCAAGACGGTCTGCTGCAATTCAAACCATTGTGGATGTGGGATGTGGTGGAATGGAAGATTTGCATCATGGGTGTGCAGCTGACAAATCTGCAGCAACTGTGTGATGCTATCATGTCAGTTTGGACCAAAATCTCAGAGGAATATTTCCAGTACCTTGTTAAATCTAAGCCACAAAGGACTAAGACAGTTCTATAGGAAAAAAACTGTTACTAGTAATCTGTACCTAATAAAGTGGCCGGTTAGTGTAAATGCCTCAGTGGCGTCTTGTGCAGACAGCAAAACTGCTCCTCTCTGGAATCTTGTCACATTGCATGTTGTTAGGACATGGTTTTATTCGGCATGAACATTTCCTATAATGATAACGAAACCATAATCTGGGAGTTTTTTGAGGTAAATGTCAAAGTAAATATGCTTCCCTGCTGTGTACTAAAGTCTTAACCAAATATGTATTGTGTCCTTACGTTCTTCGAAGGGATATCCAATTATCCTTTCCAGTCGCCGGCTGATCAGAATCATGGGCTTATCTGAGCTGGTATGGGGAATGTTCACTACTTTCATGCTTGGATCTAATATGAGAGGATGGCCTTGAAATAAATACTGTTGAGCCGCAGGTTCAATTCCAGTTTGGGCCTGAACATCCTCAAAAAAGATTGAGACCCTTGAAAGAAAACACCAAAATACAATTTTCAGTGTGGAATCACTGTGTAAAAATAATTCAGAACAAAACAACAATCATTGAAAAACGATATATAAAGAGCTATGGTGGTAAATACTGTATATTGAGATCAGGGTAAATTAAACTTATTTTGTCTACTTGGAAACAGTGAGGTTAAAAAAAAACTACTTCAACTTTCAAATTTAAAACAATTTTTACTTTTGTTTAACTTCTAGTAAACATCTGTTATTGGAAAGACATGGTGGCTGAGAGACCATGGCTGAAGCCGGCAAATAACAACATTAGCTGAGTGTAGGCAAGGGCTGAGCTGCAAAAGAGACTTTCAGGTCGGACACCATGGGCCAATATATTTCTTTATTATTACAAAAAGACATTCCCAAAATAAGCTAGACAGAATAAAACTAATTTATAAATTTATAAATTATTTTAGAACTATTTTAAAAAGAATAATTCTTTATCTTAGTTTGTTAAGAAAATGCTATGGGTGTGGCATGATCAATGATGACTATACTATTACAAGTCTTTAAGACTTACAGTATTTGAGTTGATATTTGGGTATTCACTAAAAATATATTATTGAAATTGTATATGGAGCTGTATACAGTAAAGCAGGGGTGTCAAACTCAATTCCTGGAGGGCCGAAGCCCTGCACAGTTTAGTTCCAACCCTGCTCCAACACACTTACCTGTAGGTTTCAAACAAGCCCTGAACGACTGAATTCGTTTGATCAGGTGTGTTTAATTAGGGTTGGAACTAAACTGTGCAGAGCTGCGGCCCTTTTGGAACTGAGTTTGACACCTGTGCAGTAAAGGGTCTGTATGGAAAATGATCAAAAATAAACCTATGCAAACAATCTAGCCTTTATAAACAAATGATTTGACAGAAAAGTTGATTTGGCCTACTGCAGTAAAATATTTGAAGTCTTTTAATAAGCATGATGTGTACAAGATAGAGATGGCATAAAAAGGTAATTGTTTGGAAGTTTGTGATTGTCATTCAGGCAATCCAGCCAATCGTGTAATATCAGTGTTGTCATCGCAGCTCCTGCAGTCCCTTTTCAGATGCTGCACCGGCTAAATCAATCATCTGATCTTGGAGCACTGTTGTGGTACTTTGATCCCACATGTGACAGTCACGTGGCGTCAGCACAGCAGCAAGACGGATAAAATTTCTAACCGGTATACACTGCTTTAGACAGATTTGGATCGATCTGCGCAGCGCTGCATGAAGTCAAACGCACCTATTGACTTAATCAGTTGGACAACACACACATCCGAACTCTCAACACATGCAAATAGGGAAATGCACGGCAAATAGTGCAGGCCACAATGAAAATGTGACAAGGGACTCCAAACAAGTGAAGAAAATGGTTGCTTCCACAACCAGCGGTGTATTTAGAGATCTGAGTAAAGCATTTATTTATTTAATATTAGGACTAGAAACACACACACACAATTGATGATGTTTTCGCAATTTGTTGGTGTTTTTCTATTTGCATAGTCATGGTAAACTCTCTCAGCCAACATAGAAAGATCTTATTCAAGCGAGTAATAAATAAAAATGTTCTAAGATGCCTCTTAATTTGGTAAAATAATGAATCTTTTGCAGATTCTGCAAGGTGTACCTAAACTTTTGACTTACTTTATATAATACTATAAAAATATTTCATACAGTATTATTAAAAGAAGAGCAAAGATTTGCATTCTGTTCCTTAAGAGCACACATACGTGTTGTGGAATTGTATGTAGATGCTGTATGTTGTGGCCTGCTGAAGAGAGAAGATGTAGATGGTGATGCGATTCAGGATGTCATTAGTGGCACTAAAGAACTGGGGAAATTTCCAACACTTCTCATCGTCAGCCAGCAGTATGTTGGCCAACACCGGGACCAACTGGGTCTTCAAACCTCTATGAAAAAAACATATTTTTAATCTGCTGCTAAAAATTAAGTCTTGTGTTCTCTACAACTATTTCTTTCTATCATGTTAACAATGAAAAATTCAAGCATGAGAAAACCAAATACTTAAATGAGTCTTAAAGAGATAGTTTAGCCAAAACAAAAAATCTGCCATAATGTTCTCATCTGACCATTTCTAAACCTGCTTGATTTTTTAATGTTTCTTCGGTTGAACACTACTGAAAAACGTTGAGGATAAAAAATCTGACATTTATTATTTTTGTGTACAGGAATTGACATCCATAGTATTACTATGGTATTTTTAAGGTTTAATACATAGTATTACAATGGGTGCTTTTTCCACCATTCTTCAGAATATTTTGTTTGTTACTATGGACTTCCATAGTACTCCTTATAATCTCATAAAGGTTTGGAAACACTTAATTTCTGGGTGAAATATCCATTCAAACATACTACACTACTACTTTATTTTATGTTGTTATTTTTTTGGTTTGGCGACATGATAGCACCATACCTGCCAACATTTATTTCTTAAAATCCGGAAGCCCAGGTGGGGGGAGTTTTCCGAGAGACAGAAAAAAACGGGAGACGGGTCTAAAATACAGGAGATTCCCGGGAAAAACAAGAGAGTTGGCAGGTATGGGTTGCACTGCCATTATAAAGCTGGAAAGAGCCAGGATGATATTTAATAGTACTGTAACTCCCATTGGGTTCATCAGAAAGAAGACAGCTATACACCTTTAATGGCCTTTGGATAAATTGAGGATACTTGACGTAATCTCAACTGAAAAAAAACATATAATAGGTCCTCCCCTTTTTTAAAAAACAGCCAATAGCATTTCATTTTTATGGAAGCTCTGCCAAGCGAGAGTGGTTAAGACCAAACGCATCAAATAAAAAGCAAATGAAAAGTGGGGTGGGGCATGTCAGATGCTAAAGAGCATTTGATTGGTCAAGATGAGGTGATGAAGTATGATATGATGTCAAAAAAAGTCATTGATCCGTTTAGGATGAAGTGACAAGCAGCAAGCTTTGGAGGTTTATATCAGGTTTACATCTTCTGAACGTAAATTGTGTCACTTGTTTGAAGCACGCTAGCTAATTAATATCCTTAAAACTGACATAGAGATTCTAACATCTAAAAAACGTTTTTTAATTTTACGGGAACTTTAATAAATTGTGCGATACTTAAGAAATGGTATTACCGTTACGATCCAAAAAATGTTTATATTGCATTATTGATTAAGGTGCATTTACAAATATTCCACTATGGTCCAAAATGTATTACCACACTTGCACACTTTTGAGTTTCTTACTCTGATAGTTGGCAGGAGAGTGGCAGTTTGTCTCTCCATTCAATGGGTCCGTCTTCCTCCTTCTGTACACCAGCTATTGTTCCTGCTGGTTTTTCTGTAGTGATCTTGTGCCTGGGAGAACCACCAAAGTCACCAAAATCAGTTAATAAAACATCCTACTTTACGCTTATTCTCTGAAAGCTCATGAGATTTCCTACATCATCTGCTTGTTTTTGCGCGGTCCTCCAAATGGTCTAAATGGAAGACTACCAGTAGCCATGTGGTAAATGGTGACACCAATGCTCCACAGATCCACAGACACGCCATATGCTTTCTGCTGGGGAATACGCAGCACAGCTCGCTCGTACATGTGCGGATGCTGCACAACACAAGCTTACATCAGATAGCAAATACATTCCACATGCAGATCAAATAAACCACATCAAACACCTGATTACATTTCTGATAAGGAACTGCATTTACCGAACATTCTGTCAATGATGATGCATTTTACTTCTAATGTGCTCGTCTTTAAGGGATTGTTCAAACCAAATTAAAAATTCGGTCAGTTTACTCACCTTCACTTGTTAAAAACCAATCTTTTCTTTTGATGAACACAAACAAAGATATTTTGAAGAAAGCTCAAAACCACTGGCCCACATAGTATTTGTTTTCCTATAATAGAAGTCAGTGTTTACAGGTTTTCAGCTTTCTTTAAAATGTCTCCTTTTGTGTTCATCAAAAAACTCAATAAGTTTGAAACCACACAAAGGTAAGTAAATCATGTCTAAATTTACATTTCTGGGTGAACTATTACCTAAACACATGAGAACAATACTAAAAACCGGATACAGCTGAAGTTTTCAAATAATTCCCATGTGATATTTAGGGGAGAAAACAAATTTTTACAGTACTTCCGATAATATTTTTTCTTTTGGTGAAAGTATTTTTTGTTTTAATTTGACTAGAATAAACGCAGTTTTCATTTAAAACAAATAATTTTAAGGTCAATATTATTAGCCCTCTTAAAGGGGTACTCCACTACGATATCATGTTTTAAACTTTATGTGTAATGTAGATGTGTAAACATAAAAAACATCTCTGAATGTAATACGCTCAAAGTTCAATACAAATGGAGACATTGGTTTTTACAGAATTCACTTAGCAAAGCAAAAGAACAAAAAAAAAAAAAAAAAAAATATATATATATATATATATATATATATATATATATATATATATATATATATATATATATATATACGTATATATATATACGTAGCTGAACCTCATGCCTGCTCTCTAAAATAAAATCTGACAAGTGTCTTTCAAAACTATTATGTTAAAAATGTGCTGAAAAGAAAACCTTCTTTCTATTAAACAAAAATTGGAGGCTAATAATTCTGACTTGAACTGTGTATTTTAAGTCTTAATATTTTAAGCATTACAGTTTTTTTTTAAATATAATTAAACAGTATTTCCACTTTACCAGATATTCCTCTGTGCCATATATGGACACAAACTTCTCATCATCTTCCAACTCACGAGCGGCACCAAAGTCTGCTAGCTTGTACACGGAGCGCCCGTCCTCACCCACTTGCCTCATGATATTCCCAGGTTTGATGTCCCTATGCACCACACTATTTTCCCGGAGGTGGTTCATTCCATGAGCTGTATATTTGCAAACGGAAATACAGAAAAAAAATGCAGTCATTCACAGCAATGGCATCTGATAAATGTGTGTGTAACAAAGAGGAAACTACTGATCAGACTGTTTACTTTGGTGGTTCTTACCCACACAATGCAATACAATGAGGAACTCGGACTCAGGAAGTCCAAACGCATGCTCAGGCTGCTCCAGCATGTTCAGTAAACTTCCACCTGAGCAATACTCCATGACAAGAATCTTCTGCTTTGGGTTCGATATAATCTGGTATTTACAGGGACAAATTTCACCTTTTAGATATACAGTAACCACCTTATTTTTATTATTGATGATGTAAACTGTTGTCTAGAAAGATGTTAGAGAATTCATTAAACAATTGTGATTTTATAACACTTTTAGATCAAGCACTATTGTTTTTTACATTTGATACTATACATTTAATTAAGTATGCAGTAACTCAGAAGCAGAATCGAATTATTTTTTTCCTTATTAGGCCTAATGGATTTTTAGCCTATTACTATTATTATTATTATTATTATTATTATTATTATCATTATTATTATTAGCAGCAGTAGTAGTAGTAGTTATAGTTAAGGGTTGGACTGTTCACAAAATTGACGTTTTGGTTTGTATCACGATTCTGAGATCACGATTTAGTTTTTTTGGTTTATATTGGAAAAAAGTCCATATTGTAAAACTTAAATACCTTTTAGAAATACCATGCATCAGCATAAAATACATTTTACAGTATTTAAAAAAATATATTGTCAAGGCCATGTTTTCTTGTTCCATGTATTCTAGTTTTATTTTTAAAGTTTTAATTTAGTTTTTTGCTGTTGATTAATTGTAATGACGACAGCGCGTTCATTTTGGCTGCTGTCATTTTAAAAATTCTTCCAGGAAAGTGTAACATTACTTTCACTTTAGACGTACCCTGCTGTTTCATTGTATTTGTTTTCCTACTATAGAAGTTGAGTGTTACAGGTTTTCAGCTTTGTTTAAAATATCTTCTTTTGTGTTCATCAAAAAAAAAAAAAAAAAAAAAAAAAAAAAAAACTCAAGTTTGAAACTACAAAAGACGAGTAAACCATGTGTAAATTTTCATTTTTTGGTGAGCTATTACTTAAACACATGAGAACAATACTAAAAACTGGAAGGATACAGTTGAGGTTTCAAATATTTCGCAGGTCAAATTTAAATGGAGCAAAGAATTTTTCACAGTGTATCTTATATATTTTTTCTTCGGGTGAAAGTCTTTTTTGTTTTATTTTGGCTAGAATAAATAATTTAAATTTTTTTTTTTTTTTTTAATTTTAAGGTTAAAACTAATAAATCTTTTAAGCTATATTTTTTCGATTGTCTACAGAACAAACCATCAATATAAAGTGACTTGCCTAATTACCCTAAGTTGCCCAATTACCCTAATTAAACCTTTAAATTGCAGCTGATTACTAGTGTCTTGAAAAATATCTAGGAAAATATTATGTACTGTCACCATGGCAAAGATAAAATAAATCAATTATTTGAAATGAGTTATTAAAACTATTATGTTTAGAAATGTGCTGAAAAAAATCTTTAAACAAAAATTGTGGAAAAACATACAGGGGGCAAATAATTTGATATTTTATTATTATTGTTGTTGTTGTTATTATTAGTTGTAGTAGTTATTGTTAGGGGTGGGACAGTTCACAAAATTGACGTTATGGTTTGTATTACGATTCTGAGATCACGATTTTCATTTTTTGGTTTATACAGGAAAATAGCACTTACTGTAACACTTAAATACTTTTAGAAATACCATGCATCAGCATAAAATACATTTTACAGTATTTAAAAATATATTCTCAAGGCCATGTTTTCTAGTTCCAGTATTAAAGTTTTAATGTAGTCTTATGTTTTTGATTAATGGTAATGACGATAGCAAATTCATTTTGGCTTCTGTCATTTCAAAAATTCTTCCAGGAATATGCAACACTACTAACACTTTACACTCAGACTTACCCGACTGTTAAATATTCCTAAAGGCACACCAACAGTACACATTTTCAACCTCTCCCCAATCAAACACACCTGAATCAACTCATCAGAACATAAGAAGAGACTCCAAAAAATGTACTGTTGCTGTACCTCCAGGAACATGGTTGGGAAACACCGTTTTAAACTGATATTACTTGAAACATGCAATTTATCAGCAGTAACTGTGAAAGAGCCTCTGTAAACTGAAGAAATGTACAAAGTTAAACCGTAACTGCGGTGGGCCGTAACCGAACTAACACAGATTGCTTCAAGAGACCGGAATACCCTAAGTACGAGGCACTGGACTGGACCAAACTAAAGCGAGAGTAAAGAGAACGTGACAGTTTATTTGTTTGAATTTATGTAATAAAATGATAGTAAATCAGTACGTAAATCAGTTTTTATGACTATTTGAAGAAAATAACAAAATAACAGCATTTACTGGAATTTTTGTTCTAACACATTTACTGTCACTTTACTGATCTAATAATGCATCATTGCTAAATATTAATTTACAAAAATCTTACTGAAGCTCAAGCATTTGAAGGAAAGTGTAGATGTATATGTATATATAAAACTAAAACGCCCTGTATAATCTTGAAAAATGAATGATTGCAGACTAATTGTATATGACTATAATTAAAATAAAAGATTGTAAAAGCATTACTGTATATATAAATGGTATATACAGAGTTGGGTCTAATGCTTTCCACAAGAATGCGTTATTATATTTTCATGACATTTTTGGAGAACTCAGTAATGTAATGAATTACATTTTAAATTTGTGTATCAATCTTTTAAATTGCTAGAAAATGTGAGCTGAAATAGTTGCTGACTATAGTGTTTGCTTCTTAAACTGGAAATACAAACATTACTTTGAGTTATTAGAGTGTAAAAACAAAAGTATTGCTGTTAAATCATTCTTGCACAATACTCTTCGCCAAGGAAGACACCAGTGCCCAAAAACACAGCCACCCAACTCAGCCTAAACAGGCTAAATTGGATTTTTGTGTGTGATCTGTAAGGCTACGTTCACACTGCAAGGCTTAGTGCTCAAATCTGATTTCTTTTCAGATCTGATTTTTTTTGCATGGCTGTTCACACTGCTCTTATAAATGTTGCCAATATCAGATTTGCAGTGTGAACAGATCATGGTCCTAAACTGACATGCATGCGCAAAAGTGACATGCATTACGAAGAGCATAAAATGTCTAAATATTCACACACGTTGAGTGCTGCATGAGTAAGCATGTTGTCAGATCATGCTTATATGAATATTACCCTTTTCACAGACAACTAGGTTTGGGTACCGAAACCCGGTGCCATTATAGCACCGGTACCTTGGTAACCGGTATGTACCGGTATTATATCAGCGTATGAATTTAGGTGTCTTTAGGTGCTGCGGCAAAAACGTAAGCAGCATCAAAGGGGTGCATGAAAAAAGGCACAAATAGGCGTTTTCACACATTCACTAAACAACTTTGAGGAATACGGACAGGCGATATTAGGCGTTTGTTATTGTCGCTAGGGAACAGACGCACACAATGCGCGCAGCAAATCGCTTTCAACCTGGTTTTCGGTGAGCGAAAGCAAAGCGACGCTCTTCAGATCACGGCGCGTGATCACGTTCATCCAATTTGCTTAAACTAAGCATTCTAAAGCGTAATTTACATGCAAGGATTCTGACACAGCAACTGTCTTTACAAAAGTGTAAGGGAGAAACATGTCAAACTTAATGACATTTGATGGCTCAAAGGCAGAGCCTCTCTCGCGTGCTTTAGGTGTTGCTACCTCTGTTTTGGATCTCTCTGTGAAGGTGCTGCGTGCATCAGTTCACCGCATTCGTCAGAAGTCGACGCCCAAATTGACACGGGTAATAAAAAGATTAAACTTCAGTTATGTTCATGCTGTGAAACACTATCAAAATGTCTACCGTTGATGATATTAGACTTTTGTTTTCAATAGCGAATTTAACACTTTAATATAGGAAATCCTCGGCTATGCAGAGATCATTATTAATCAGAAATTTAGTGTACATAGTTTTACGTTGGGAAATGCAGTCTTGAGTTTACAAACAGTTAGCAAGTACCAAAGAACAGACGTAACACATTGATCAAATGTAGTCTTCAGTCACGCTCATGTAAGTCATATTCAACGCGTTTAGTTTTGCCTTCATTCATCTTTGATTTCTGTCTTCAACACATGATTTATTTACAACACATTTTTTAAACACAATAGTTTAACTAACTCATTTCAAATATTTACTATTGTATCTTCCCCATGCTGACAGTCAGTACAGATCATTTTACTAGTTATTTTGCAAGACAGTTGTATTCAGACAAAGTCCCTTTAAGTATTTTACAGGGTATCTGCACATTTTTTAACAGAAAATTTAAGACCTTTTTAAGTCCTCTAAAATGAAAATTTAAGACTTTACCTAAAAAAAAAAACAGGAAAATGTTCAGTGTGAACACAGAATGATGTGGTGAAGTATGGCGGCAAATCTATGGCGGCAAATCAATGGCAATATAAATCGAGCGCAGCGGTGATGTTTGCGCGCGAGGAGAAGTGAACCGTGAGCAGATTACTTGGTTGACTTGGTTTACTTGTTATCTCTAACGCTATTGGCTACTGTGCCTTTCCGGAAGTTAGCCGGGATTGGACGCAAGTTAAAAGATCATGCCGTTAAATATATATATACAATTTGCAAGTCATAATCATAAGAAACTTTCTGAGAACTTTATGAACTTTATGAGGATTCAATCTCGAGAAACAGTCAAATAATATCCAAAATAATGACTTGCATTCTTGTAACATGACTTTCTGAACCCATTTGATTTGTCCGTGCAGCACTTGTCTGGTTTGTTGTATTTTACTTCATTATTAACCACAACAGCAGTGCTCATTATTACACTTGGGGATGATCTTTCTAGGAAATATTGTCTTCAGAAGAGTTTATTTGCGTTTTAGATCTTTATAGATAATTATAATTAATTTATCTTTATAGATAATTGTTAACATTGTTTGTAATATAGATCAGTGTAAAATATATATATATCTATATATATTATATATATTTTTCAATCTCATTTTTAGTTAATGATTGAATAACCTGCATATAAAGACTTCAATCAAAAATGATTAGCCCAATTAAACATAAAAAATACAGTGACAGACATTCAGATGGGTTTTTATCGCCACCTATTGAGCAACAATTTAATTTCTACAATCTTCGTTTGGCTTTACTC